ACTAATTACTATAATTACTAATAGCCTTATTGATTTCAGTGGGGTATGTCACCAGAAATTATGTGGCCTTTATTGGAAGCAATGGAATTCCCACCAACAGTGTAAGTTAGTAATTTTGGTTTTATCATCCATCTTTAGATTAGAGTCAGGAAGAACTGTATATACCACCTCTACAAAAGCAGTTTTATTTTCAGTTACCTAAGATACTTGCAAAGTTTAACATTCTATTTTAAATAAACAAAAATAGCACACTTAACAGATGATTAACTAACTGTAATTTGCAGACTCCAATATACCTGATGAAGATACTGAAATCTGTTTATTATGGAAGTACTTCCCATCCATGCTTATTTGTTAATGCAGCTACTTTGTAGTTTATCAGGGAGGATTAATATAGAATCAATAAACTACATTCATCAGGTGTTTGGTTATTTACTTCTGGATACTTTTCTGTGGATTTTAATATTTTACTATGTTTAATCTTACATCATCTTAGGGGTATGGGGTACAATCAAGAATATTCTTATTTTGTATTTTAAAATAAGCCCAATGCTTAAACATTTGCAACTGAATGCAAAAGGAAAATATATTTCTTCATCTCTCCATCCATTAAACCAGTCAGCAATTAAATGTATTTTAATCTTCATATGCTAAAAGGAATCTTGCTTTGATTCTCCCGTGTTAACTAGTAGTTGCATGAAGCGTATCATCTCACATTTGTTTTACTTAGGTTTGCTGCGCAGTTTCTCTTGTATCCTTATCTATTACAGTAATGAAGCATGAAGGCTGTGTAGGAATCAGGCTGTTAATTTTATATGGCAAGAATATGCAGCTTCCATCAGCTCATGGGTTTTGGAGGCTGCACTCTGAAAGTGAGTGGAACCAAGGCCCTATAGAGAAAGGTTTCAAGAGGTGAAATGAGCATCTTAAGCATCTGCAAACCCTGCATCCCAAAACAATATTTTAAAAAAATCAGTTTCGGGAGCCCAATGATATGGGAAGCTTTGAGGAGCATTATACTGGTGGGCCACTTTAAATGGTAATCGCTGAATGGTACTTGCAGGTAGCATGAAACACACTTCTGGTCCCTGGAAGATGGACCTGACAGGAGAGGGTTAACTCTACCTCATCTAGATCTTGGTGCCTCTTTAAAGAAGCTGCATTGTTTCCTCGGTTTGGATGACAATTGTGTAATCCCAGGAAAAACCTTTCTGAGTTCAAGGGGCACCAATGGCATACAACAAGGTGTCCTGGAAGTAATGTGGGTGTGCTGCCTGCACTTCAGCCTCAAACACTATGGAATTTTGCTTATTTTTTATTATTATATTTTTATCCCATTTTTTAAAATATATATTTGGTCAACTCAAGGTGGTGAACGTACAATGGATTTGGAAAGTATTCAGACCCCCTTCACTTTTTTCAATTTTGTTATGTTGCAGCCTGATAC